CGGGAATGATTTCTCACTCTCCCCACCCCCACCCCTCACCCCCTGTCCAGTGAGCGTATGAACTCTATTGTAAAATTTAAAAAGGAAAAAAAATTACCTTGTGTAATTTTCCCAAAAAATGTTCTATGCTCTTTGACTTTACACAATTTTCAACACACTAAAACACAGCTAAGGAACTTGCATTTTCTCTTTAATAGCACATCTTGGAACTCTTCCTCTGGTAGTACATGAAGATCTACCTCCTCTTAAAGGGCTATGTTGTATTTCTTTCTATGGAGAGACCGTCTTTATCTCTCCACGGCTTAGCACTATAGTTGTTTCCAGTTTTTGCTAATATGAACAACACCACAATAAAACTCCCTGTACATACAGTTTTGATTATTGCTACAAATTTGTCCATAGGATAAATTCCTAAAAGGGTAACTGCTGAGTCAGTTTTTCTTGTTGCAATGTGAATATTTCCAATTCACTTCCAAAGAGGTTGCAACTGATGCTTTCACTGCATTATATGAGAAAGCCTGCGGTCCAGGTCCCACAGCTTCACCAGTTCTGGGTACCATCACCCTTTACAATACACTAAGGGAACTGTTACTTTAAAAATAACAGTTATGGTACACATATAGGGGACTTGGAAAAATGTAAAGAAAATGGAATTACAGATGAATATATATGCAACAATATTTGTAAGCCACGCATAGTTTTTTCATAACACACATGTTCATGAATGTTTTAAAGACCCTGTGTACGTGGAATAGCAGCACATATTCTATTATTGTATCTGCAGAGATGAAAGCTCGCAATTGTCTTGAGAGGTAGGCTGCTTCCCCTTTGCCTCGAGGACAGAGGGTCACGGTGATTCGGTGATTCGGAGCAAGGTCTGAACCTCAGCTCTGCTATTTATTACTCATCCCAGCAAACTGTTCTAGCATCACAGAGAACTGGGTTCTCTTTCCTGCTCTTTCCCACTGCCTCCCACCAAGTTGCTCCATTTCTTTGCATTTTCTGATTTGGAAGATGCCAGTTTTCAGGTCCCTATGAACTTCCTAAGTGGCAGTATTGAATCACAATGCAGATGGCAGCTAACCTTCTCTGGAAACGCAGGTAGCACCACAGCAAAAGGCAGGGGGAGAGCTCGGCTGTATTTCTGCAATGAGGCAGTATAGAGAAGGGTGAGGGGGCTAGCTCTGGGGACAGACCAAACTGCTATCTTACTTCTGCCCTTTAAAAGCCAGTGACGGGGGCCCAGCAGTGGTGTGGGGGTTGAGGTGCTGGACTCCCACATGACTGACTGCAGTTCGAGTCCTGCACCTAGCGGCTGTCTGTCTCTCTCTCTTTTTCTCTAGTCAAATTAAGATAAATAAATACATAAAAAATGTAAATAATTCTTGAAAAAAAAAAAAGCCAGTGACCTTGAGAGAGTTCTTATATCTATTTGAGCCTCAGTTTCCTCCATTATAAAACTCAGACAACAGTAGCTGCTTCATGAGATTCCTGTGAGCTTAAAGTAAGACACATTCCTAAGAAAGTATTTAACAGCTGACTCCTTTTCAATGTTCAGTGTGTTCATATACAATAGCCTCACCACCTGGTGCTGGTTTGCTTGTAAGTCAGAGGGACAGGAGGCTTCTGCAGGCTGGATCAAGGCGGTCACCAGCTCCCACCTTCCAGTCACACGCCCCCACTTGCCAGTTCAGATGACTCACAGCCTCTCTCTCCCCTGTACCTGTGAAGCACACCTCTGGGTGGGGGCAAGGGCACAGGGCAGACACACGCAAGGGCTGCAACCCCAGCCAGGGGCTTTACCCGTGTTCTTTCCTCCCAGAAAGAAAGAAATCTAAGAAAAATGTTTTCAGTTGAGGCGTTTAATGCAGTTAATGTCTGACTTGTGAAATGGAAATATGTGTTGAATATTATCCCGGAAAACATTTCATAGGGATCCGAGGAAGACAGAAACTGGCTTTAGGATTTTGTTGTTGAGTTGCTTTCTCTCTTTGAATCTGCCCTGGTTCAAATCTCAGATATTACATACCACATGAATTACAGATATTAAGCTATAATCAGGGAAAATGAGATTAAAAAAAATAACACCTGTGACACTCTTTTTGTATTTTTGTTTTAATTTCATACTTACAGAGAGGATGCAAAGAAAGCCCAGTGAGTACCTACATTTATCCATTGTTTCTTGTCTTGTTACATATGCTGGTACGCCATTTTTGAGACACAGCATTGCATTCATGTGGTATGGTCTTTTCTGTCATTATGAAAACATTACGGAGGTAGACTTAGTTCTGTCAATATTGTGATTTTCAGGCACTCTCAGCTTCCTGAAGTTTGAACTCTGTTGTTCTAGACGGCCCAAAGGTTGGAATATGAAGACTCATGTTTGTAAGAATTGCAAAATTAAATACCTCCTGCATCAAATAAGCAAGAAAAAAGATCTCTAGTTCGACAGAGGCTCTGAATGCCAGAGTCTCATCATTTCTAATTTACATATTTGGTAAGTGACATCCAGAGAGGTTGAATCACTCACTCCACTGGTAAACTGCTGAGTCTAGACTCAAAAAAAAAAAAAAAAAAGTATTTTTGACTACAATGCCCATTCCACAAATACTATGGGAGGATTCTCGGAGGGAGATTTCAATGCAAACCAGATGGAAAAGTTTTTATTTTAATTCTGGAAGAGTTGAAATGTTAATTTTACGTAATTTACTTCCACCAAGGAAGTTTGGGGTTGGGATGGGGGTACAAGATGAGTTTTGAGGAAATTAGTCAGGAATTTAGTAACAACAACAAAAGATGCTGAAAGAACTAAGCAATCCAAGAAGCAGACAAGACTCTTGTTCCATGGCCTCTTACCAGCTCTGTATCCTGGACAAGTCACCCAACACCTCATTTGTGAAATGGGGATAACCATTCCTTTCTTAAAAAAAAACTTTTGCTACAGGGTGCATGCCCTTACTGGAGAGAGGCAGAGAAGGAGACAGAGAGAACTCTCTGCAGTAACTGGTCAAACCTCCATATCCACCTTTCTTTCCCGATTTTGGGCACGCAGGCACAGCTCAGCGTGTTTTACAGGCACCAAAGTGGAACTGGAAACCGCTGTCTGCCATGTGGGATCCAGCTGCATTAACCAGGATGGCTCCACCATTCCTTGTTATCTGGGAAGCAAACAAACAGACAAAACCCTCACGTTTTCAAATTGTGAGGCTTTGATGTTTATGAATGCAGTTCAAGGAGCTGATAGTTTCGTTTTATCTTTCAGAGGAAACAGAGGGAGGGAGAACAAGTGAGAGGAAAGGAGAGAAACAGAGAGACCTGCAGGTAGGACGGCAGAAAAGGAGGGAGGTTCGGGATTCGTTCCCTGAGGCTGGCGGGGAGATCGACAGAAACTCACAGTTCAGGGAGAGAAGAAAGTATCGGTCAGGAAATTCAATTAGTTGCGAGGTCTCAGACCCATCTCTAGAATTTTCCTCCCGGTGGCTACAGGAGCAGGGCGGACGGGCTTGACACCCTCCTCCAACTCTTTGGGCGGGCGGTGGCGGCCTGGCACGGGCTCTGACTTGCTAGGCTCGGAGGGCGCGTTGATCCGCTTCCCAGGGCTGCGGGAGTCAGGATCGAGAACTCCCGCGCGCCCAAGGGCTGGTAAGGATCTACTGGCCGACCACTTCTCCTGGTCTTTGCCCAGCTCCTAGCCGTTTTGTGTACCGATGCCTCTTCAAACCCCTACCCGCCCGCCGGGACATTAAGCTGCACCTTGCCAGGTCGCTCCTCAGCCTTCAGGGGCTCAGGACATCCACAGCCACCGCTGAGGGCTGGCTGTGCAGGTGGACGAGCGCAGGTGCGCGCGTGCAGCTGGACGAACACAGGTGCGCGAGTGCAGGTGGACGAGCGCAGACGCACGTGCAGGCGGACGCGCGCAGATGCACGTGCAGGTGGACGAGCGCAGGTGCGCGTGTGCAGGTGGGCGAGCGCACACGTGCGCCTGGGCAGTTAGGGAGCTTCAGAGGTGGTGACACGCTGTGGCGAACTATCTCCTTTTCATCGTTTTTGTTTACACTGAGATTTGGTTACCAACTCGCACGAAGAAAACGTATGCTTGCTTTTGTCTTTGGGTCGCAGGGTCGTGTCGGGATCTGAAAAGTGAAGAGAGAAATGAAACACCTACGGCGGCCCCACCGGTTGCTTCTGGAGACCCCTGAGACCGGCAGTTGGGACCGCCAATGTGGAGAGTCCAGTGACTGGTCACCCGAGGCCCGGGGTCCACGTCGGGCCCCAGCGCGGGAAGATGCCGAGCCCTGCGCACTTCGCACCCTGATGCGCGCGGACGCGGCGGGCACGCTCCGTCCACCCTTCCTGACAGAGGCGGCGCGACCGCGCGCGCCGTCCCCGGGGCCAGCTGGGCGGCCTCCTGGCTGGCGGGACAGGGAGCGCGGCGCTGGC